AGCTTCTTCAAAGTGTCCTGTATGTTGAAGGGGGATGGGCACACGGATGCCTGACGAGGACCAGACCCTTGGGAATAGCAATGAGGTTCTCCATGGCCAAACCTGCAGAAATTAGAGATGACCTCAGTAAAGGACACCTGAACAGTGAAGGATGAGGACCTGAAAAGGGCATCAAGTAGTGGGAGAAATTAATTAATTATGGTGACCACTATGATTCGAAGACCCAGCTCTCCTCATCGTGTCCCTAAGGGTAGGGTTCTTGCACAAGGCAATGGCAGGTGAATGATTTATATTGAACTGTTTATCAACCTTGGCAAATTGGAACTTAGAAATAGATTTGGTTTTGTTTCAAAAAATCAAAACAAAATGACAAGTCGTTATGGAAAAATCCATGCCTGTTATAGAATTTTTTACTCCTCCACAAAGCGGGAATAATAATAATAATAATAATAACGTCCATCTCAAAAGTTATTGGGATGGCAAAATGAGATATACTGTGTAGAATAAAAAGTGCACATCAAAGGTTTCTTATACTGTTACAGATACCCTTAGACACGGTTAGTACGGACCTTCCTTCCCTTGCTGGAGTGTTGACTAACCATTTGCCATCTCTCCCTCCTTTGCACTTAAATAAGTGAAGGTTCAGGTTACTGCAGCCAGCAAGAGCAGTTATAAGAATGTCAGGAAAAGGAGACAAACCAATGGCCAGGCTTCTGCTCTCTTGAGATTTACCTTTCTTCCCCATACCAGCACCCAGTGCTAACACAAGGCCATGGAGCAGAAGCTCATATTGATGTCCAGGTACCCTAGACCAATTAAATCAGTCTCTGGGAGTAAGGCCTGAGCAGTCCTAATGTTTAAGATCTTCCAGGTGATTCTAGTATGCAGCCAGATGGAGAACCCTGACCTTGGGGAAGCTGCTGTTTAGACAATGTTAATAACTTTATTGGCCTGTGCAGACATGATAATTAAAGGAAGGAGAAGGACTTGAAGCAGATTGAATTTTCAGGCAATTGTTATAAGATTCCTATTGGCTTTATTATCAATTTCATTTGTAAAATGTATGCCTATGAAAGAGTTTTCTAGGTCAAGTCTATTTTTCTAGCCCAGGAAAGCTGACTCATCTCTATTCTTGCAACTACTGCCCCCTACACCCACCAAAAAACAAAAAGAATTCTTTTTCTTTCAGTGCATTTTTCAAGGTGCTGTTAAAACAAAAAGGATTCTTAATCCTTTCCTCCAGTGATTGCGTGTTCGTTTTTAACATTTCTTTCTTTTTTTTTTTTTTTTTCCTTTGAGATGGAGTCTCACCCTGTCACCCAGGCTGGAGTGCAAAGACACGATCTGGCCTCTGCCTCCTGCCTTCAAGCAATTCTCCTGCCTCAGCCTCTTGAGTAGCTGGGATTACAGGTGTGCACCACCATGCCCGGCTAATTTTGTATCCTTAGTAGAAATGGGGTTTCACCATGTTGGCCAAGCTGGTCTCAAACTCCTGACCTTGTGATCCACCCACCTCAACCTCTCAAAGTGCTGGGATTACAGGTGCCAGCCACTGTGCCCAGCCTTAACATTTCTCTTATTATCCACTCTAGGAATGGCCTCTGAAGTTACGGTGAATTTAAGCATGATGATAGTGAATGCAGAAACCTAGCCAAACAATGTAGGAAGCTTTACTCAGTCTGAGAACCACCACGGTGACTCTTGGGAAAATTATATTAAAGGGGCAATGGTTTGAAACTGAACTAGGTTTGACTCCTGAACTAGGCACAGTGGCTCACACCTGTAATCTCAGCACTTTGGGAGGCCGAGGACGATGAATAACTTGAAGTCAGGAGTTCGAGACCAGCCTGGCCAACATGGTGAAATCTGTCTCTACTAAAAATACAAAAATGAGCCAGGCAGGAAGCTGAGACAGGAGAATCATTTGAACCCAGAGACAAAGGTTGCAGTGAGCTGAGACAGCACTACTGAACTGCAGCCTGAGCTACATAGTGAGACTCTACCTAAAAAAAAAAGGAAATTCTGACACCAAGACTAAGAGGGACAATTCTGAATTACTTAATTGATTGTAGCTAATCAGATAATACAGATAAATTTAGATGGATCTAAAATATGCAAATGTACTTCTCTTTTAAGCATTTTACTAAATGTTCTGTAACAATTTCTTAAAAGTAGGTAGGAGATTTCTTGATTAATGAAACTTTTTGTACCAGAAATCATTACTCTGTGATACTCCTCACAACAGCCCTCTAGGGAGCCATTATTGGCTTCTATTACCAAAGAGGAAGCAGTTTAAGAACATTTAAGCAATTTGCCCCAAGTTCCATGATGTAGGAAATGGCAGAACAGGGATTAAAACTCAGACTCTTGACCATGAAGCTCTAGGGTCATTCTAGCTTTTTGAACAATACAAAAATATTTTGCTTCCTTCAAAGTCTTATCTCACCCAACCAGACCCCTGCCTCAAACAGGAGTCTCAAACTCAACAACCTACAGAGGGCCAGGATGCTAACACAAATGAGTTAATATGGGTTATATTTAAGAGAAAACTCACGTTGTTCTAGTGTGTAACTTAGCTACTGCTCAGCTTCAGGCATCTGTTGTGCCGGAAGAAGTTCATCCCAGAACTACCAGTTCCCCTAATTTTGTAACAGAGACAGACATCTGGATTTTTGTGGAAAATATCCCAACTTTTAAATGTTGGCAATAAATTTACTTGCTTTTTAAATATTACACGGGACAACACTGAGCAGGCTAAACTATGTGAGGCATAGTTTGGGAGAAAAAAGGAAATGCATTCAGTATCTTCTGGGAGAAACTAAAGCAGACACATTCAAAATCTTTTGGTTTCTGATAGACATCAGTTGGTTTAGATGCAAGTAAATGACCTTCTAGAAAACACAGTAAGGGAAAGGGGCAATGTCAGCGCATTACCTAGTCTCCGTTATACATATACCATGAAAGATAACCTTCGATGATCTTGAATCAGATTGAATGTCTTGATGACAAGGGTTAGCATAGAAAAATACTTTGTACCAATTACTGCTAAAATCTCCTTTGGCAACAAATTCACTGGAGTAACTTAAAGCTAAATCCAAATCATCTCCTTTCTTTATGGCAAAATCTCTCTTATCTGCAGTAGACCAAGGAAACTTTATCAGGACTGGAGGTAGATTTTTGTTCCCTCCCCCTCCCCCCGCAGCAATGACAAGGTAAATGAAAAGCCTTCCAGTTGAGTTACAACAAAAAGGCAAAAAAAATTCCTATTTCCTACAAACTCTTTACCTTTGGCTCTCAGATCTCTGAACTACAGATAGGGCTGGAATGTAGATGCAGACTGGGAGTAGCAGTGCCAGAATCTATTCAATGGATGTGCTTCTAGGCATATGACTTTTAAAAAGAAGTTTCTCAATGTCACTCAATGGGGAAAAGGGCTTATTATTTAACCTCGGGACCTCAAAATAAGTACTGAGCCAATATTTGTGTCTTTATTTCATTTTCACCAGACACTCCCATTTGTAACTATAGTATTTTTTGTTGTTGTTGAGACGAAGTTTCGCTCTTGTTACCCAGACTGGAGTGCAATGGCACAATCTCCGCTCACCAAAACCTCCGCCTCCCGGGTCCAGGCAATTCTCCTGCCTTAGCCTCCCGAGTAGCTGGGACTCAGGCGCGCACTCGCGCACCGCCATGCCCAGCTAATTTTTGTATTTTTAGTAGAGACGGGGTTTCACCTTGTTGACCAGGATGGTCTGGATCTCTTGACCTCGTGATCCACCCGCCTCGGCGTGATCCACCCGCCTCGGCGTGATCCACCCGCCTCAGCCTCCCAAAGTGCTGGGATTATAGGCGTGAGCCACCGGCCCGGCCAAGTATAGTATTTTAATTAGTCTCTTTTTGTTTTCTCCTCTCAGCTACATGCAATGTTTAAAACCATAGTTATCTTTGAAACTTTGTAACTTAAATTCTTTTGGGTACATAGCTGCATTTGTAAAGGCACGGCTTTCAAATAATATGTACTAAAAGATCAAAGCGGGTGGATCACGAGGTCAAGAGATCGAGACCATCCTGGTCGACATGGTGAAACCCTGTCTCTACTAAAAATACAAAAAATTAGCTGGGCATGGTGGCCCCTGCCTGTAATCCCAGCTACTCAGGAGGCTGAGGCAGGAGAATTGCCTGAACCCAGGAGGCGGAGGTTGCGGTGAGCCGAGATTGCGCCATTGCACTCCAGCCTGGGTAACAAGAGCGAAACTCCGTCTCAAAAAAAAAAAAAAAAAAAATGAATGAAAGTGAAGAAAAAAATGTGTAAGCGGTTCATTTTCCCTTTGGATTTGGGTCTAATACAATAATTGATTTATGTCTAATACAATTAGATAATAATTGATTTCTGTCTAATACAATTACTTCATTTTCTTTTTTTCTTTTTTTTTATACAGACGGGGTTTCACCATGTTGGCCAGGCTGGTCTTGAACTCCTGACCTCGTGATCCACCGGCCTCAGCCTCCCAAAGTGCTGGGATCAGAGGCATGCACCACCACACCCAACTACTTCATTTTCAAGTTAAGGAAGAATCAAATGCAACTTTGAAAGTTATTATTTTGTGTAATGTTCAACGTGGAGTTTGATACACAATGAGTAGAGTATAAGAATGAATTGCTGAACTGTATGGCAAAGATTTTGTAAAATCTAAATTTTAAAAAATATTAGGCCGGGCGCGGTGGCTCACGCCTATAATCCCAGCACTTTGGGAGGCCCAGGCGAGTGGATCACGAGGTCAAGAGATCGAGACCATCCTGGTCAACAAGGTGAAACCCCGTCTCTACTAAAAATACAAAAATTAGCTGGGCATGGCGGTGCGCGCCTGTGGTCCCAGCTACTCGGGAGGCTGAGGCAGGAGAATTGCTTGGACCCGGGAGGCAGAGGTTGCAGTGAGCCTAGATCGTGCCATTGCACTCCAGTCTGAGTAACAGCGAAACTCCATCTCAAAAAAAAAAAAAAATTGGTAAATATTTTTAATATTTAGATATTTGTTCTTTGAATTTCTATTTAGTTTTATTTACTCATAGGTGTCTTTTGGTCTGCCTTGAAATGCACAGAGCTGGGACCAAGGCATTTTTGCACACTTTAAATAAGGAGCCAATGGCAGTAAATGATTATATGAACCCAATTGAAATGTTGACAAGGGCTGTTGCCACTTCTTAATGTTTCAACTATGTAAGCAGAGTATTTTTCATTTCTAAAATGTATCTATATATGTAAAATAATAAATATTTTTCTTATTCCAACCAGAAAAGGAAAAGTGAAATTGAAGGAATCATTAATACACTTGAGGACAGGCATGGTGGCTCACGCCTGTAATCCAAGCACTTTGGAGGCCAAGGCAGGAGAATCACCTGAGGTCGGGAGTTCTAAACCAGCCTGACCAACATGGTGAAACCCCCGTGTTTATAAAAGAATTTAAAAATATTTTTTTAAAAATACACTTCAAAAGAATTTTTGAGCAACTCTCAAAAATGCAAAGAAAAAGAATAACTTCATAAAGTGAGTTGTAATATTAAAAGAAGAAGAAAGTATGCAATGAATGGGAATACAGAACCTGAGACAACTATCACAATATTTCTAGAAAGCTGATAGCTATTTTCAGATTTTCTATAAGTAATTTAGATTTAAAAAATCTATAAAACTGCAAGAGCTGCATTTACTCTGGTGGGCCATTAAGCATGCCGTATTTTCCTCAGTAAAGCATTAATTGAAATTTTTTAAAGTGGAAATCATGGCAGAAGATCAAAGAATGAGAAGTTGGTGGTAGGCTACGGTCAGTTCCACATCAATAGCATGCAGCCGCCTACTCCTTCTATTTCTAGATAAAAACCCATTAATTCCCACTCCCTTCTGTGCTAACATTTATTTCAAGAAAATATGTTTGGACCTGCCTGGCACACACATGCCATTCACACTGTGAGGAGCAGAAGTATAGGAACAGGCTGAACATCTGAAATAGCTCTGCTCAATTCAGCTGTGCATCTGGCACCTCTGCCCCTCCTCCATCCACCTATGAGGTCCTTGCAAGACCTTGAGGAGGACTTATCACTCCCTTTACTGCCTGGGGTGAAAAGAAGATCAGGTAACAGCACATAATAAGGTTATACAGTGGAGAAACAGGGAACAAGCATTTCTAACCCGGAGCACAGGGCAATAACCAGAAACCTAGAGGCCCCCTGTGTTTTTTCATTTGTTTGAACAAAAGATTCCCATGGGGTAGATTTTTATCTGTTACATTTTTAAAATAAATTTGCGGATTTGGAAGAACTGGATTTCCAAGGAGTTAAAGGTCTGAGGCGCATAATTATGACCCTTCTAAAATACGAGCCTCTATCCTATCACTATTTGTTTCAATCCTTTCTTTAATGTGGGTAAAACAGCATCTTGCATATAGACTTCGCCTAGGCAATACATACACCTTTAAGGGAGCTTTTAAAATTAAAGAGTAAAGCATATACACAAATCATCAAGCATAGACTTAGACAAATTTTTCATAAATTAATCCATTTAAGCTAGCATCAGATTAAGAAACAGCCCATGGTCAGCATCCCAGAAACTCTCTTCATGACTGTTTTGGTCACTCCCATCCTGCAAGGACAGTTAACATTATGACTTCTAACTGCAGAGATTCATTTTAGGAAATATCATTTTAATGCAATTAAATTGTATCTTTTTGCATACTTGACTCCAGATAAAATCTGCAGATATATATTGGACCAACTTAGTTGTCCCAGACCTTCATTATTTGACTACTTGGTATGCTGAATTCTACATTGTAAATACCATTTTGGAACAAAAGACCCCAGATTTAGTCCTGTTCTGCCACTAATTAGTTGGGAGATCTGGGAAGAATCACTTCCCCATTTCAGCCTTAAATTCCTCTTTGTAAAATAAGTACATTTAACTAGACAAGCCATCAGCTGTCTTCTGAAAGAATATACTCTTCAGAATGGAAATATCAAGGACATATACTTTCAACCATATGTACTTTCAATTATATTTATGTAACACTGTATCTATATGCCTCTCTTCAAAGATAAGTATTTAGGAAGGCATTGCACATGCAGTAGTACAAGCATAGCTGGGGTTCTTGCCCTCATTCTGTGTCCAGTCTTGTGCTAATTCAAGCAAAGAAATGAATAAATGGTTAATAATGGAGCGAGAGAACCATGGGACTAAATATGTATGGGTCATTAGATGACCTGTCTCAAAAGGACACAAACCCAAGGAAATAGAGGCACTTACTTAACAGGGTAGCCTGCCCTATCTCTGGATTTGGAGTATCTCTTCACCTTTCCACTACTCAGCGGGAACTCTTTCTCTTCCCAAAATACTCACTGCCCTTATCTCTCCCTATCAAAATCTGTTAAGTTTATTCTCATTAACTTGTAAGTGGTTGCCAAGCCTGAATGTTCTCTTTCACAGAACTGTTTACACTTACCAAGACATTTTGATTTTAAGGAGTGAATCCTTAGTTACAAAATTTCACATATCAGAGTCAGGGGAGTACATTCACTTTTAGACAAGAAACAATTAAAGTCATCCCATACAGGTAACTATGAAAGCAAACTTCTCTCCTAATGTTGATGCCACTATTAATTGAGAACTTGATACAGGCCATCTTTGTGCCAAGCCCCTTACACACATTATTTCATTTATTTCCACAGGCAGTGTCATTATTATTGTTTTTATTTCACAAATAAAGAAACTGTTAGTATTCAGCCCAAGGGGACACAACAAAATCCTTCTTTGCATGTCTAAAAAGCCCATTTGACACTGGGTTTAGCAGCAGTTACCCACCAAAAGCAAAAATAAAAGAGGCTAGAGCTCTTCAGCGCAGTCTCAGGAAAGGAACTCATTCTTCTGGATCACTGGTGATGGAGGTCTGAGAGGCAAGGAGGCAGCCCCTCTTTTTTGTGCTGGGGGCATCTCCACCCCTCCTTTGTGCTGGACCCTTTCAGATGCTGCATTAATGTCTTCAAGGCCACAATACATTACACGGCAGACAGACTCTAAAGGCCCACTGAAACACTGCTCCAGAAGGCCTGCGGAGTACCCATCTAGCAGCCCTGACTTAATGTCATTTCTAGCTAAGATGTTTTTGGAGCTTCTGAGGCCAACGGGGACCTCAGCTGCAAATCAAGGGCAGCTTCTGTACATCCAATCAGGAGATAAAACATCCAACATTTATTCCCTTCTGAACACAGAGCCAATCATTTCCCGTAACTCTTACGAGGCAGTGCTGCAGAGTCACTCCAAAGGGGCCTGTTTTACACTATTTGTAGAATTACAAAGCTCTGAGGCTTTTTGAAACACCATTTACTGACCAGTGGTTCTAACTACTACGCTGAGAAAGAGACCACAGCTTGGAAACAGGTATCCCCCAGCACTTCACACCCAGGGTATTGCTAATGATCCCCAGGGATACGAAGCAAGACTCCACAAATGCTCAGGACCAAATGAATTCAAAACCAAGGTAAAGCCACCCACAGTGCCTGGGATGGGAGTGAAAGTTGAAAGCCAGTAGCAGAGGGCAACAACTCCAGAAAGCTAGGACTCCTCGGCTACCTGTTGAAGGCATATCTCAACACATCATGATTACACTGGTTTTAGAAGGAGTACTGGCATTTTGTCCAGAACAGTTTGAATGTCACTCCAACATAACAGAAGGTGAATTTGTGGCCACAGCAACATACAATAATCACTGAGACTTATCTGGGGCATCCTTGTTTGTGGGATGAGAGATTCAAGTCTGATCTACTGAATTTGGAAAAATACAAATATGCTCAATTCAGTTAAATAGCTTAGAAGTAAATGAGATCAAACTGCATTGTTTTAATCAAATAAGGGTTTTTAAAAACTTTATTTGCAAATACCCAGCTTTATTTAATTTTATGGTATGTTTTCTTCGGGGCCCTTACAATGCTGTGGTGTGTCTTGGTGGCCATGATATGGCTGTGACATGGTTAAATGGACCAGCAGCTTCCAAGAAGATTTGTCAGCAAGTGTCAGATAAACAGAAGTCAGAGGTATGTTCAAGATTGTTGGAGGGGTTTGAAGGGAGGAGGAGGAGAAGGGGAATCAAAGACTTGCAGACCATGAGAGGCAAAGACGTCCGGCTCCTCTGCGGTCCATTTCCTCTAATCTGGATTGGCATGTCTGACCAAATTCTTGCCTCTGGTGCCACTTGTAAAATCCGAAAAGATGAGAACATCAGAGCACTATTTAATGTCTTGTCTCGATTCGGAATGAGGCATATCTACATTAACTGATTCAAAGCAATGTCCAAGATACTTTATTAAATGTAAAAAACAAAGTTTCAGAATGGCACGTTTACAGTGCCATTTGTGTATTTAAAAAGAGAGGAGTTATGTAGCATAAATGCTTCTGTATGCATACAGTTTATATAGATTCTAGAAGGATGCACTAGAGGGAGATAATCGTAAGGGAACTGTGAGGCTGAGAAATCCCCCTATATTATATAGCCTTCTGTAGTTTCACTTTTTTCCTAGTTTAAAATGGCAATCATATAATAAAACATACCGTTTCACTAAAAGAGCTAAATTTTACAGACCAATGCTTGACATATGGAACTTTGAAATTTTACATAGTTGGGAGTGTACAGAAATCAAGTCACACAATAATGTCTTATACAGCTGTCCAAGCTTATCCCAGAATTTTTTTTTCTCTTTTTTTTTTTAGACAAGGTCTCCCTCTATCACCCAGGCTGGAGTGCAGTGGTGTGATCACGTTTCACTGCAACTTCTGCCTCCCAGGCTCAAGTAATCCTCCATCTCAACCTCCTTAGTAGCTGGGATCAACAGTCCTGTGCCGCCATGCTCAGCTAATTTTTTATTTTTACTTTTCTAGAGAGATGTGCCCAGGCTGGTCTCAAACTCCCGGGCTCAAGTGATCCTCCTGCTTTGGCCTCCAAAAGTAGTGGGATTACAGGCATAAACCACCACACCCAGCCCAGAATAATTTTAGAACTACAAATGTCAGTGCATTTTTGTTAAAGATGCATTTTTGGGGCCCAGCGCCGTGGCTCATGCCTATAATCCCAGCACTTTAGGAGGCCAAGGCAGGTGGATCACAAGGTCAAGAGATCGAGACCATCCTGGTCAACAAGGTGAAACCGCGTCTCTACTAAAAATACAAAAATTAGCTGGGCATGGTGGTGCACGCCTGTAGTCCCAGCTACTCAGGTGGCTGAGGCAGGAGAATTGCTTGAACCCAGAAGGTGGAGGTTTCGGTGAGCCGAGATCGTGCCATTGCACTCCAGTCTGGGCAACAACCTCAAAACTCCGTCTCAAAAAAGAAAAAAAAAAAAAAAAAGATGCATCTTTGGGTTATTTTTAGTATTTTTTTCCTCCTCAGATTCTCTGAAGATTATAATCTTCACGGTAGTGAAATAGAGATCACAAAGATTTTAAGAGAGAAAATGTGTGCTGTTAGCTATAAATAAAATCACTCTTCTAACCCTCTGGGTAGAGAATGAGGGAGAAAAGCTGTAGTTATATGAGCATGGTCTTTCCCTGTGACTGTGGATCAAGATTGACACCCGGTGGCCACATTTAATCCTTTTTTTCACTGTCATTCCCTTTCTATATAATTCGCCACTTCTAACATTTCCCTTTATGCTTTAGAGAAAAAGATTATTTAAATCTGTGATGTTTACTGAAAGTGAACTGTATCTTAGACAGCCAGGTTAAATTAGTGGGTCTTGTTTCATATATAATTAACAGGTTTATTTCTGTATTCTCTCTGTTTGCATTTTTTCCTAACATTAGTAGCAATTTTCGTTCCGTTGACAAAACAATGTACACTAAATTTTGTGGAAACTGCAACTTTAAGCAAAAGGAGGTACAACAGAGGCTTGAATAATGTCTTTTTTTTTGAGATGGGAGTCTCACTACGGATGCCCAGGCTGATCTTGAACTCCTGGCCTCAAGCAATCCTCCTGCCTCAGCCTCCTGAGAAGCTAAGATTATCAGCATAAGCCACCACAGCTGGCTTAGCTATAATGTCAATGAGAAAAATAAAAAAATTTTTATATCTTATTTTGCTTAAAGTTGCCATTTCCAAGAACCTATTGATGACTTTGAGGACTTAGTGTATTAATCTTTTTTTTTTTTTTTTTTGAGACGAAGTCTTATTCTGTCACCCAGACTGGAATGCAGTGGCATGATCTCAGCTCACTGCAACCTGCACCTCCCAGGTTCAAGCAATACTCCTGCCTCAGCCTTCCAAGTAGCTGGGATTACAGGCCTGTGCCACCATGCTCACCTAATTTTTGTATTTTTAGTAGAGATGGGGTTTCACTGTGTTGGCCAGGCTGGTCTCGAACTCTTGACTTCAGGTGATCCACCCACCTCAGCCTCCAAAAGTGCTGGGATTACAGGTGTGAGCCACCACACCCAGCCATGATGAAGTTAATATTTTAGCAAATAAAATTAACACGTTTAACACAGATTACCAAAGAGAAAAGTAGTAAATTTAAAAATTAGACACATCAAAGTCAAAATTCTAGCTGGGTAATCTTGAGCAAATCTCTGAATTTTACTAAATTTCAATTTCCTCCCCATTGTGAGGATTAAATGAAATGCAAACTTAAAATGCTTATCTTGGTACCTGGCATGTATGTTATGAGTTATACACACACACACACACACACACACACACACACTCAGTAGCTATTGTTACTACCAGAAAAAGCAAGTTTATGAAAGTAAAACCCACATGAAGAATACATATCTTCTTCAATCAACTTTATAGTTTGATGCAGGAGAACAGTGGCCCCAGATAATCTAAAAGTATACATAATTCAAAAGATCAAACAATCTAAATAGAGTCATTTAGAAATAGATTTGTATTATACATATATTTTTTTGAGATGGGCTCTCACTCTGAGGTGGGAGGTGCAGTCCCACCTCAGATTACAGGTATGTGCCACTACCCACAGTTAATTTTTGTATTTTTTGTAGAGAAGGGGATTTATCATGTTGCCCAAGTTGATTTCAAACTCCTGGGCTCAGGTGATCTGCCCACCTTAACCTCCCAAAATGCTGGGATTACAGGCATGAGCCACTGAGCCTGCCCTATTACACATTTGTAATGCCCTATTTACTGTCATAATCACTTTTTTATCAAAAATTAAAATTAGGCCAGGCATGGTGGCTCATACTTGTAATCCAAGCACTTTGGAGGCCAAGGCGGGCGGATCACCTGAGGTCGGGAGTTCAAGACCAGCCTGACCAACATGGTGAAACCCCGTCTTTACGTTAAAAAAAAATAAATTAATTAAAATTAGATTAAAACTCAAAGCTCTTTGCCTTTCAGGAAAGAAAAATCATTTAGTACATACCCTACAAACCTCCATATATGATGTATATAAATTAGCTTGTTTATAAATCACATACACATGTTATTTTACTATATATTATATACATTGTAAAACTCCCCAAATAGATATTTTTCAGTATAAGATACATAAAAATCCAAGTGGAGGCAATTTCCTTCTCCCCCTCAGTGGAGTATCTTGCACATGCCTGAGGTGGGTAACCCCCTATTCTGGAAGCTGTTACTCTAACAGTTCTCTGACTCTCACCAGTAAAAGGGAGAGAGACAAACTGGTGATCTGGCACAGTGGAAGGAGCACAGGCTTTGATGAGTCCTGCATTTGAAAACTGCGGCTTCTTTAGTGCTGCTATGACCTTGGCAACAGTCCTAATCTTGTTGAGCCTCAGGGTCCTCTTCTGTCAAATGAGGGTGATGATACATACAAATGATACTGTCCATAAAACGCAGTTCTTGGCATCGTATTATTATTGCTTAGAGCTGAAAGAAGCTTTCAAAGATCACTTAGGGAACTAGGACTAGAAAGATTCACTCTCCTGGATTTTTAAAGCCACACAGCTGGCTACTGACAAATCTAGGACCACCCCACTCTCTTTACCGAGCTGATGAGGGGGCCTCAAAAAATGTACTGTCAGACAAGGTTTTCCTGAGACTGAAAATATAAATTCCATCATGAAATTTTCCACACACTTGGTCACTCCATGTATAGCCTATATAGAGAGATGATTAATAGTTATGTATGTGTTGTTATTACTAAATGGTTTCTTAAAACCACAAACCACAGAGAAAAATATGTCCTATTACCAGTATCAAAAAGTAAATATATATACATATATATTTTTTTTGAGAAGGAGCTTCACTCTTGTTGCCCAGGCTAGAGTGCAATGGCTCCATCTCCGCTCACTGCAACTTCCACCTCCCGGTTCAAGTGATTCTCCTGCCTCATCCTCTTGAGTAACTGTGATTACAGGTGTGGGACACCACATCCAGCTAATTTTGTATTTTTAGTAGAGATGGGGTTTTTCCATATTGGTCAGGCTGGTCTTGAACTCCTGACCTCAGGTGATCCACCGGCCTCAGCCTCCCAAAGTGCTGGGATTACAGGCATGAGCCACCACAGCCTGACAAATATCTTTTATTTTAAAATCTATGCAATGGGCAAAGCTCTGGTCCAAAAGGAAGGCTACCCAGATTTTAGTCCCAATTGTGACAAGGACATGTCACTTGACAACTCTGTATCTTATTTTCCTCATCCATTAAGCAAGAATGATATTACTTACAATGTTGCAAGATTGGCATGCAGTAATATAGGTTAGGAAAAGGATTCTACAAATAACTATCATTATTGCTGTTGTTTCCCCAACCACAATGAAATTATCTCGAACACACACACACTTGAGAACTCAGTATCCTTCCAGCCCAAAAGGCTGGTCCCTTTAGAGAAGAGACTAAGGCCCACTCTGCTAGGCCACAGGTAGTCTCAACAATAAAAAGCATAGACATTTTCTGTCTTCTCTGATCCCAAGACAGAATGTTCCCAGACCTGGACCCACCCTGAGCTATTCCTTATCAGCAGCCTTAGGGCTATGACCTATAGCCCAGGTGGATGGTTTGCTCAGCTGTGCCTTTGGAATTCCAGGTAGCCAGATTGAGGCATTCCCTATCTAAGAATAGATGCCATATTTTGGGCCTACTGCTGTGCTGCATATTTTGTATACATTATTTCCACTCCTAACAACAACCTGTGAAGTAGTGACTATTTCATTTTACAATTATGGAAACTGAGAGCCAGAGGTTAAATAGCTTCCCAAAGTCAAACAGCTAGGAAAGAAACTGCTAATCTGGCTCCTAATCACATGCTGTTTCTAAAACATTTCCCACTCTGATTCCCTTCTGGTTCCTGCCTGATATACCCTCAGATTTTGGACCGTATTTCCTTTACCCTTGCATGGGTTTTGCCAGGAACCGCTGTACTGCCATCCATTCCTATATTCTACTTCAAGACTCACCTACTAAGTGGAACATATTGGAGTTTACTGGAGCATTCAGTATGACACATGCATGTACCCAGATTTACTAATTGCCTGGCAATCCCACATTGCTACACCCTTCAGGCATAGGGCATCAAGTTGCCCAGCCTTCCTGTATGCATACTTCCATTTCTCTCTCCACTCAATCTCAGTGTCCTCCTGTTTCATGCCAGCCAATGTTCTGAGGTTCCAGCATGTTTTACAGCAAAGCCTGTTACAGTCCCAGAATGATGATTTAAGGAATTGACAAATTATTCATTACCTTGGAAAATACCATATTTTATTCAGACAGATAACTGTAATTCATCAGTAAGGGGGGAAAAAACCACCACAGTAGACATCTAGGCTTGACTGTAGAGACAAAGCAGTCATTTAGATGGAAAACATCTGTGAGTAGCCGAAGTCTCTTTAATCTCCACAGATATAAAGGAATTAGTGTGAGAGGGTATTATCCCCCAACCCATTTTAAACTCAGGGACATTGATACAAAATCCCAGTACAGGGCAATAATTTCATGAAATTTTAATGAGTTCACCCTAATTCTCCAAGTTCTGAGAAATGGAAAAAGCTGTCCATAATCACGTTTTTATAGGCATTTGGAAAAGATATTTAGAAAGCACAAATTAACTATAATATCCTAGGAGGGAGTTTTGTAGATCTCACAAATTGGAAATGATGCCATACATTTGTTACAGGTCACTTTGCTGTAGACTTAAAGCCCTGACTTTAAAATCAATGTCCTGCTCTTCTCACATGCTGGTGAACATAGATACCTTTAGCTATAATTCCAATTTTATAAATCTTTGAACCAATTTAGTAAAATTGAGACCAATAGCCAAGGTAAGCGCAGGGCCTAGCAAAGTGGCTTCAACTCTTGGGTTAAAAAACAAAGTATGGCTGGGTGCAGTGGCTCACACCTGTAATCCCAGCACTTTGGGAGGCTTAGGTGGGCGAATCACCTGAGGTCAGGAGTTCGAGACCAGCCTGACCAATATGGTGAAACCCATCTTTAAATAAATAAATTAATTAATTAATTAAAGTATGGCCCAGGCGCGGTGGCTCACGTCTCTAATCCTAGCACTTTAGGAGGCCAAGATGGGCAGATCACTTGAGGTCAGGAGTTCAAAACCAGCCAGCCAACATGGTAAAATCCCATCTCTACTAAAAATACAAAAGAATTGGCCAGGCATGGTGGCTCATGCCTGTAACCCAAGCACTTTGGAGGCCAAGGCGGGTGGATCACCTGAGGTCGGGAGTTCAAGACCAGGCTGACCAACATGGTGAAACCCCATCTTCATAAAAATAAAAATACAAAGAATTAGCTGGGCATGGTGGTACATGCTTATAAACCTGGGAGTCTAGGGCACAAAAATCACTTGAACCCAGGAGGCAGAGGTTGCAGTGAGCTGAGATCACACCACTGCACCCCAGCCTGAGTGACACAGCAAGACCCTGTCTCAAAAAAAAAAAAAAAAAGTGTAACTGTGTTTTCTATGAGGTATCTGTGCAGCAACTATTTAAACAACTACTATAGGCCAGGTGCGGAGGCTCATGCCTGTAATCCCAGCACTTTGGGAGGCCGAGGCGGGCGGATCGCCTGAGGTTCAGAGTTCGAGATCAGCCTGACCAGTATGGTGAAACCCTGTCTCTAAAAAAAAAAACTACTATCAAGGCTAGATGAGGATAACTCTGTCCCCATCACCAAGAGAGTGTCCAGAGAAATGTGCCAGACTCTTGCGATACCTTTGCTCTCATTAGACCTTAATATGTAATCACACACCACATTTCTCTCTCCCTTCCTGTCTGAGAACTGAACAAATATCAAAAGTGGACTTTGTTTGCTGCAAAGTGATTCAGCAAGGCAAGGTGGATGGGATACATTTATCCTTCAGCAAATAAACATGTTTCACTGGTTTGGCACTGTTTTCCTCTGTGTCAAAACTATGGCCAGGAAATGAGGAGCTAGTGGTCAAAGGTACAAACTTTCAGTTATCAGATGAGTCCATCCTGGAGATGGCATGTAAAACATGGTGACAATAGTCAGCAATGCTGCATTGTGTACTCGAAATTTGCTAAGAGAACAGATCTTAAGTATTCTTACCACACGCATACACAGAAAAACTATGTGAGGTGATGGATATGTTAGTTAGCTTCATTGTGGAAATAATTTCAGAATGTAAATGTATACCAAAACATCACCTTGTGCATCTTGGATATATGTTATTTTTATTTGTCAATTATACCTCAATAAAGCTGTTGAAGAAAGGAAACTGAAGCCAATACTTCACCATATGCATGAGGAATGGTAGCGAATGCCCCTGGCAGCACTTGTGCAACAGCTAATTTGCTAAGAGAATCTTAAAGGGTAGAGATCAGAACTAATTAGTGTCAGTGCCCTAGCAAAACAGCTAGAGTCTACTCAAAACTTCAGACTTCAAAGAGGACAGAAGTTGGTTTCCACACAAGTTCCCATCAATGTTGACAGGGTCATGGATGTCACCTTGTGTCAGGCCTTGTTCATGACTTACTGCTATAATATTGTGTGTTTAGAGATTTTCATGCCAAAGAACCACTCAGATTCTTCTTAATTTGCAATCAAGAAACATCAGGGGTCTCCCCGTTCAATATAGAAACTGGCTTTTACACTTTCCTAGCCTCTAATGGAGATGGTCTCTCCCTGATGTCATTATAAGGGGACTCACTCTGGATGCACTGGTGCCCAGGTATGCAAGGGGGCATTGCCTGCTGTAAATTGATGTTGCAACTCTGGTTCTTTTGTGCTCCTGTTCCTCTGGTGCAGTGACAGAGGGGTGGGCTGAGGGAGTTGCTGAGGACTTGCAGCCATAGGTATTCTCTTGTCCCAAGCCTGTGCTTTCCTTGATTTTTTTTTCCTATTGCCCAAATATGACAATTGAGATAATACATGTCAAGTGCTTATTACAGTACTTGGCATATAACTGTTCAATAAATATTAGCTATGATTATTCTTTTTTGTCTAAGAACTGTAGCTTAGGTAAAGGTCAGAGCAAATCCACTGAGCTTCAAGGGAAAGAAGCAATACATTTGATTCAAACCTTTTAATTCCATACCAAACCTCCGCTATAATAATCACAACTTTATGTCACTGGTTAGCAACACATGAATTGCCAGACACAACTATTTTGACAATACACTGTGAAAGTTGCAGACACCAGGAGGAAATCATTTTTGTGAATCCCAGACAAACAGGGATAGGAAGGGCAAAAGGAGATGGGGCTCATGCTTGCAAGTCTGAATAAGAACTGTTTCCAAGGACTTTTTTTCTTTTTTTTTTTAAGACGGGGTTTCAACATGTTGGTCAGGCTGTTCTTGAACTCCTGACCTCAGGTGATCTGCTTGCCTTGGCCTCCAAAGTGCTTGGATTACAGGTGTAAGCCACCATGCCCAGCCTCCAAGGACTTTCTAAAAACCCTTTTGCAGTCTTCATGCACGTCCTGCTTTGATAAGGTTCATCACTAGACATTCTTTAGGACCACAAAAACTTGGATAAGATGTTCTCAGAACACTTGCATAGTAATGGCACCTCCACCAATGAGCTGACAACAACTATGGCTTGGGACCTCTGGACCCAAAGAAATCTATTCTAAGCATCTTATGTAAATCTGCTTTTTCCTAATAAACTTTTCCCTGTACTTTTCCCTTGCCATATGTACTGTTACCTTGCCATTTCACACATTCTGGATTATAATCCTTACTTCTATTCCTGAGTAAACCCAACATATTTAGGGGTAATTTTCTCTATTGTCTTTTTTTTTTTTAGGTTGACAACATTGTATAAAGATAATTCCCCAAAAATGATAAAATCATACTTTCATATAGATATAAAAATAAACATACATTAAAAAGTTTTAGACTGGGCACAGTGGCTTATGTCTGTAATCTCAGCACTTTGGGAGGCCAAGGTAGACAGATTGCTTGAGCCCCAGAGTTCAAGACCAACCCGGGTAACATGGGGAAATCCTATCTCTACAAAAATATACAAAAATCAGCCAAGTGTGGTGGTGCATACCTGTAGACTCAGCTACTGGGGAGGCTGAGGTGGGAGGATCGCGCTTGAGCACAGGAGGCAGAGGTTACACTGAGCTGAGATGGCGTCATTGCACTTCAGCCTGGGTGACACAGTGAGACTCTATTGCAAAAAAAAAAAAAGATTTTATTTAACTCAACGAAAAAATTGGAGCGATGTTATACCCTTTTTTGACTATACCCAAAGAAAGAGTCAAAAAGCATAAATTTATATGGAAGAAGGAAATATTGAAACAAATGCATAAGTGGAGGCAAAATGAGCTTCCGCCACAATGGAGAGGGCAGGCAACTGAGTCTTTACTGTACAGAACAGAATTAGCACATCTATAGACAAGAATAATTTTTACATTGCCATTAGTTATTTACAATCACAAAACTGAATACAGCTCCCAAAGAACCAGAAAACATGAAATGGCTTCACCTAAACGGTGCATAGTTTTTTCATCGATGCACACATCTTTCCCTACAACACTTATATTTATATCAAGTTGCAATTAAGGAACTAACGGATAGGCAATTGAGCCACACAGTTGTTCAAGTAAATAGTCTGAAAGAATGGTGCAAATACCAAAGATCTTTCAAGGAGGTTGGCCAATAAGACCAAATCAAATTGTTTCAAACCCAAATCAGTAAAATGTCACTTCATGTTCAGTAATAGTAATAAACATTATTATATGTCTAATGGTCCATATAGTTGCTTTCAGAATGATGATTCAACCATTATATGGCATGTTCTGTGAGAAGCTGTTTATTTGGATCATTGCTCTATCTACGCCTAAACTTATATCTTTTTCTTTTTTTAACCAATGAGTAGCATCTGTGGAATTGGGTAGAAAAAAGAGTTCCTGGCACCTTAAGTGAGATAATGATAATTCTTACATATATTGTCCCAAAGTTCATGTGGCATTTAGAATTGCCATCCTGATTAGTAATAAAGATCTTCCCCTAGCATTTCCTCTAATGCCATTTGGAATGTCTTTGATTTTTATTTAGTTTCATTTTATTTTACTTGGCTTCACCAACTGAGATCTCATGAGTCTACTAAGTGAAGGAAGCATTAATTCCTCTCTAACCACCACAACTGCTATAATGGAATCAACTGATATTTCTACACCTACTTGTATAACTCAGAGATAGCCTTACAAATGGTACACATACCCCCCTTCCTTGTTAGCCAAAGGGAGACCAATGGAAGTAAGTGTCATAGATCTGCCCAATAATGGTATAAGACAAAATCGTATTTTGAAAATATTCAACTGATGCCGTTTTGGTCTCACAACCCCTAGTAATTCCTAGTTTTCCTGAGGCTTTCTACTTAGCGTAGAACAAAGAAGACAACTGAGTTGCTTCAACAGCTCACAGAAGACATAACAGTCTGAAAGCAAAAGCAAAGGGCTTGAGTTGCAAGTGCTTGAGAAAGTACAGTGATAGTTTTGTTTTGAATTTACAACAGGATTTAACTAAAGGACTAAACACTGAGTTTTATGTTAGCCATAGCAATGGTGCAATATAAAAAGCAAGGGCAGGCTGGGCACGATGGCCCACACCTATAATCCAGTACTTTGGGAGGTCGAGGTGGGTGGGTCACTTGAGGACAAAGACTGAGGTGGGAGAATTACTTAAGCCTGAGCCCAGGAAGTTGAGGCTGCAATGAGCCGAGATAGTACCACCGCATTCCAGCCTGGGTCACAGAGCAAGATCTTGTCTCTAAATAAATACATAAATAAATGTCAATTACAATTTAAAAGTTGTTTGTTTGTTTGCTTAAAGAGCCCCAGGCCTGCTTACTCTCCCAAGTGGTTGCATCTGACCAAGGAAGCATGCATATATCCATTGCTTTCACCTCAGATCAACTGAAGAGTCCACATTTCTGCCTTTTACATCTTCCAGGCAAAAGTCACCAGTCCACATTCCACATCCCCCAATCACATAAGCCACATGTCAAGATTCCTGAGAAGTTCTTCTTATCAAGCTTGAAATGAGGGAAAGGAAGGCAGGGATACCTTACGACAAAGTTCTCTTCGAAGACATACTCTATCCGATCCTCTCTTCCCCTGTCCAACCCTATGCTTTGGATGCTTTGGGAATTTCCCTTGAAATTTTACAAATCCTGCTGGGTGATAATATAATTCGCTCTGGCATCTGGCATTTGTCATTTTAGGATCTCAGCGTAAACTTCCATTTACAGTCCTATTACAAGTGTTTTCTATTATTAGAAGAAATAAGAACCAATTAAAAAGATAAGCTCAGTTACAGAGAAGGAAATAAAGTTAAATATTAACACATCTACATTATGGCTAAATTTTGTTTTTGTTTTTTAGGGATGGAGTCTCACTATGTTGCCCACGCTGGTCTCCAACTCCTGGGCTCAAGCGATCCTCCCACCTCACCTTCCTGAGCAGCTAAGACTACAGGCGTGTGCCACCATACGCAGCTTATGACTAAATTTTGACAAAGCTTTATTATTATTTACCCTGAGCACTGCACATGCATGTAGTAGAACAGAGCCCTGAAACATGGGGGACCTTGAAGAACCCAGGAGAAACAGAAATCAACTCTCTGGTCAAGAGAGGAAAAGCAATAGAGTGAAAGAACAACTAACAAACAAGTTGGCAACAAGTTGAGCACCCCAAAAATGGCTTGTCTCTTCACAATATTTGGAGCCTCAATTGGGAAGACTCAATAGCTAAGAATGACACTATGATTGGGAGGGACTGGAATCATCATCTGGAGGTGTCTTCATTCACATCTGGCAGGTGATGCTTGCTGTCAGCCAGGGGATTAGCTGGGACTGAATACTAGAGGTGGTCTCTTCATGTGACCTGAATTCTCCTACATCATAGCAGATGGGAATTTGCATGACGGCTCTGGGTTCCAAAAACTGAATCTACATCACCCTTCTTACCTAGCCTCAGAAATCACACAATACCCACGGTATCACACGGTATCAAAGAAATTGTAGCCAGCTTTCAGAAACCATGATTCCATCCTTGACCATCACTCAAATACATACAACAATGTCTTAAGTGCACATCTATGCTTTTGTCGTCACTTTCCTATTTGAGTTATCAGGTCAAGAAAGGGAAGGCTTCTCTGAGACTGAGCCTTCTGCTTTCCTCCTCTTCTGTCACCTCACTTGGCCAGGTACACACACAAGTACATACACATACAGTTCCACACGTCGAAATTTTCACAGAATTAATTAAGCAAATCAGCTTTTTTATATTGTGCTTAAGATACAGGAAAACTATGAGAGTCAATTTTATCTTTGGCTGCAAAGGGAGGGAAATCTTGAATTATTCAACAAATTTCAGCTTTTGGTTTCTTCACATTTCAGAAAAACTTAGCAAGCTTTCTATCAACCTTTTTACGTCAATTGATTCCATTTTTTTGAAATACCATTAATTTTTACACTAGCCATTGTTTCATGTCATACATTTACGTAAGCAGTGTTTCAACGTCAGTGTTCCTTATAGTCCGTAAGGGAAAAATAAAATATTTAATTGATTAGCACTAGAAGAATTATTATCTTCTTTTTTTCTCTTAAGGCGGGGTTTCACCGTGTTGTTCAACTCCCAACTTCAGGTGATCCACCTACCTTGGCCTCCAAAGTGCTTGGATTACAGACATGAGCCACCACGCCCAGCCATTCTTATCTTCTTTAAAAAAATAAAGATTCTAGGTGTTTTTTTTATTTAGTAAATTCAATAAGTAAATAATTCTTTATTTGGTAAACTCAAGAAACTATTCAATGGTTGCTTCTATCAGATTATGCAAGTATGATCCAAGAATTTCAACCAAAAAAAAAAAAAAAGAATTTCAACCATGTTCTTAAATTAACACTGATTAACAATCTTAAACAGCATTGACAGTGAAAGGGAAGAAACACAAAATGCTCCAACGTTATCAAGGCTGATTTTGGGTCGTTTATCCCAGGGGCATAAATTTATATCTCATAGGAGAATTTACACTTATAAGGCTAGTTTAGAAATAACTATGATATAAGGCTGGGCATGGTGGCTCACACCCATAATCCCAGAACTTTGGGATGCCAAGGAGGGCGAATCACTTGAGATCAGGAGTTTGAGACCAGCCTGGTCAATCTAGCAAAACTCCATCTCTACTAAAAATGCAAAAATTAACCGGGCGTGGTGGCACATGCCTGTAATTCCAGTTACTCAGGAGGCTGAGGCAGGAGAATCCCTTGAACCCGGAAGGTGGAGGTCACAGTGAGACACTGCACTCCAGTCTGGGTAATGGCGTGAGACTCTGTCTAAAACAAAATAAATAACTGTGATATAAAGCAGAATGTGACTGCCATGAGAGATTGAGAATGCTTTGGGGATTAAAAACCTAAAAGCACATAGGTTAGAGGAATCAAAAAAGACTTCATAGAAGTGGCTACACAAGACTTAAAAACAACTGCTTAGGGTTCTACCCTTAAATAGAAATGAATGCTCAAAATTTATCAGAGGCCAGGCGCGGTGGCTCACGCCTATAATCCAAGCATTTTGGGAGGTTGAGGCATGTGGTCAAACCCCATCTCTACTAAAAACACAAAAATTAGCTGGGTGTGGTGCCATGCATCTGTAGTTGCAGCTACTCCAGGCTGAGGCAGGAGAATCTCTTGAACCCAGGAGGCAGAGGTTACAGTGAGCCAACATCGTGCCACTGCACTCCAGCCTGGTGACAGAACGAGACTCCTCTCAAAAAAAAAATTATCAGATATTTTTGGAAGACAGCAACATGGAAGAGAGAGAACAAAAAAAGCAAACTATATGAAAGGAAAAAATCACAGAAAATTCAGAGACAGAGGAGGCGGGGACCTGATGCAGGAAAGAAAATTTACAAAGAAAGAAAAACTTACAAAGAATAACCTCAGAGAAATAAAAGAGGATGTGACCTGAAATAAGAATAGGGGCTATGAAAACAGATAATCCAAGAATAAGAAAGAGCTCATAGCAATTAAAAAATCTGTGCATTCAGGGTCAGGTGTGGTGGCTCATGCCTGTAATTCCAGCACTTTGGGAGGCTGGAGCAGGAGGATTGCTCGAGCCCAAGAGTTCGAAGTTGCGGTGAGCTATGATTGAGCCATCCGGTGTT